GCTTCCTGCGGGGCGGGTGCCAGGTTCGTGGGGGCCTTCTCACGATCGATGCTGCTTAGGTTCTGTGCCAGTGGTTATGCAGCTGGCTTGCAGCGGAGCACCGCATCGTTAAAGGCGAAGTGCAGCGTGCTGGAAAACGTAAATAGAAATGTCTTGTCTTTCTTCAGGTAAATTTTATCAACATGTCCCAGCAGAGCCCTCCCAAGCCACCTTAGCTAGCGTGTCTCCTGTTTTTGCAGTGGTAAGTACATGCAGGAGTTTCCACCAGCAAGGGCAGCTTGTGCAGGATGATGGTACTCTTTCTTAAAGCATCAGAAGAGCAGATAGATTTCATCTCTCAAAAGACATCCCTAGTTCTAAATTGCTGGTTTAAGGTACTCTTACTTGACCTGTTAGCAGTCTTCCAGTATCTGAAGGGGCCCTACAAGTATGCTGGAGAGGGACTCTTCATCAGGGACTGTAGTGCTAGGACAAGGGGTAATGGGAAGTTCAGGTTAGATATAAGGAAGAAGTTCTTCACAGTGAGGGTGGTGAGGCACTGGAACAGGCTGCCCAAAGAAGTGGTGAACGCTCCAACCCTGGTGGTGTTCAAGGCCAGGCTGGACAGAGCCTTGGGCGTCATGGTCTAGTGTGAGGTGTCCCTGTCCATGGCAGGGGGTTGGAACTAAGATGAGTTTAAGGTCTTTTCCAACCCAAACCATTCTATGATTCTATACAGCTTTTGTCAAGATGTTTTTCTAAGATCCAGTATCTGCTACAAATTCTCTTGCTTTAATTGTGAAGGTGGGTCAATTCTTGGAAGTGCTGCAGTCAGAAGCTTTCTCGTTAAGCTTGTCAAGGCTTGCGATTGTCTTATAGAAACATTATTCCTGGTTTTTGGTAGCTGTAGTTTTAAGCAAACAGATGATTTGGGAAAAAATAAGATATATATTCTTTTAGAAAAATTAGTCTGAAAGCTATTTGCAAGCTGCTTGATTGACATTATTAGTGCATGTGAGGGAAGGGAAGGCCTTCTTTTGGGGATGAAAAGCAGTCATTCTGCAACAAGGTGCATGCAGGTAGATCCTTGTGGCCATGTATCCCCTGTTGCAGCTCTGCTGGAATGTGTGCTTAGGTATGTTTAATTCACAGAATGTTATTCTTAAAGTCAGTAATACGGAATTAAGCCACATGGTTTATGACCAAATACCAAGCTTTCTGATTAAACCAGACATTGCAGTTTTTCCAGTGAAATAATTTTATTATGAGATACAAACATTACATGAAAAATCTAAGTGACAGGTGCTAAGATAAGAAGGATTTAGGTGAAGGTTACTAACTGAATAGCGTATCAAAGCAGCGCTTGAGATGCACACAAGGCCTAATCACTCAGTTTGTGGTACTCTTCGCTTTTAGAATTTTATTTGTAAACTCTTTTGATTGCTCCAAAGGAAATAGCAAAATTTGTGATCAAAAATGTGAGATGCCCCACTGATCTCTTCTCCCTGGTATCCAGTGATAGGTCACGTTTGAGTGGTTCAAAGCTGTGCCAGCGTATGTTTAGACTGGACATGAGAAAGCATTTGTTTCTTTACCAAGAGGGTGCTCAAGCACTGGAATGGGCTTTCTAGAGAGGTGGTTGATGCCCCAAGCCTGTCACTGTTGAAGGGGCATTTACACAGTGCCTTAATAACATGCTTTAATTTTTTGTCAGCCCTGAAATGGTCGGGCAGTTGGATCCTGTAATTGTTGTAGGACCCTTCTGACTGAAATAGTCTATTCTATTCTAAGTCTGATCCTCTGTAAACTACCTTCTTCCCAAGGTTTACGTAGGAACTTGGTCATGCAGATGACAACTGGTATTTGGTGTGTGGCAATCTGGAGCAAATTTTTCTTAATTGGGATGAACTGTGAAGAGAGTGAATAAAAGGCTGCTTTTTCTTCATAATGAATATTCCATTAGACTTTAGGCAAGCGCAGACAATTTTAGGAATTGATTTCTGGATATATAGTAGTTCTGTGAAAAAAATTTTTTTTCCTCTCCTTTAGATAAAGCTTGACAAAGAGGGAAATACTACCTATTTTGGTGAGTTCTCATGGCAATTTTGGTTGGTTGGTTGGGTTTTGTTTGTCTTTTTTCCTTGTCCAATACAGAAAAGCCCAGTTGGCAGTTTGCATGGGATAGGAAGTTATATTTGGGATACTTCTTTGCATGGGATGTTGCAATGTGTTCTTTGTTTTGCTGCCTTCTATTGGTCTTCATAGCATCTTTATTGTTACAGTTTTTACATATTTTTAAATAATACTTTGAAAATAACTTATTCCATCTCTCACAGGAAGGTCATTTTTACTTTGTCTTTTCTGTTTCTGACAAGCATGCAGCTTTCCTCACCTTGTATTTCCTTCCTTTGAGCTTTCTCAAATGAGTCACCTGGTTTCTGATGTGAAATTAACTTTCATGGCCAACTTTTTCACTTATATCTGAATTTTTTCTCTTCCCATTTAAGATACAGTCTTACAAACTTTGTATATTGAGGAATCAATGGGAGGAAAACTGGTTTAAAGATAATAGGGGTTTTTTTCCTTCTGTGGGACTTAGAGTAAAATGTCATTTCAGAACATACATGCTTGTCCCCTAATGTCTTCGTTTGAAAATATTTTTATGCTAGAAAAGAAGAAAACTGAATTGTACCAGGAATTGGGTCTTCAAGCTCGAGATCTAAGATTCCAACACGTAATGAGCATAGCAACTAGGAACAATAGAATCATCGTGAGAATGGAGGTAATGGTTTCCCTGTAGTTGAGTGTAAACTTGAACCATGTCTTAAACTTGGACTTGCATTTTCTTGCAAAGTTCTTTTAATACCAGCTTTCTATGAGGCGCAGTCCAGCAGTAAATGTGTCTTTGGAGCTCTGCCTGGCAATCAGAGGTACGGGTTTACCGACAGTACATATTAATGACAGGAGAAGTTACTAACATTGTCATAGAAGTAAAGGCTTACAATCATACCACCACTGCTCAGTCATACCATAAAGCCATCTGACATACCACCACTGGCACAGTGTTGTGTCTGAACCGGAGGGAATGTACTAGTTTGCAGTTAACATGAGATTCTGTTATTTTCCTGCCTGGAAAGACATTTGATGAAGGCTTTATCAGAGCCTAAATTATCAAATGTGCTACAGAGTTACAAGATATCTTGAAAGAGGTGGTTTTTCAGACTTTGCATTTACTGTCTTTTTCAGTTCTTGAAGGCTGTCATAACACCAGAGTTTCTTCTGATATTAGATTATCGTAATTTAAATCTGGAACAGTGGCTCTTCAAGGAACTAGCATCTCAGCTGGCTGGGGAAGGTCAGCTAGTTACATATTCCCTGCCCTTTGAATTCCGAGCCATAGAAGCAATCCTGCAGTACCGGGTGAGCTGTCTCATTTTTATTTAAACAGTTTTGGACGTTGTTGCTTCATAGAAAGGACAGTACGATTTTATTCTTGTGTAACTTTTTATACGTACACATTTCTATATGTATTCTGCACTTACGGTAGGAGCTCATTTTGTTTTGACTTTTGTTACTTTAGTTTTTATGGTTTTGTGTGTACATGTGTTTCCATTCCCTTCCCAAGAAAGTGCTAATTGGATATGATGGCTTCACCGTCATTTGGACAGTTAAAAACAAGTCAGAGTACCTTTCTAGAGACGTGCTGTAGCTGAAATGGAAGTCATGCTGAGGATTTTGGCCCCTTGGGCAGGAGTCGGATAACAATTTCTAGCTATCCTTAAAAATCTGTGCTTACTAATGCTAATATGACATTTCTAGACAAATAGTGTTTTAGCTTTTTCAGCCTTACTGCTGTGGTTGTCACTGGGTTTCAGTTAAGTGCAAATCCCTTTTATAAAATACTGTATTTTGCACTGGCTTTATCATGTAAGTGGTATCCCTGTAGCAAGTATTTCCTGGGCACTGGAAAGCAGATTGTATTAACTGCCTGTTACTGTGAATTCTGTGTTCAGAGACAGGAGTCAGTAGCCCAAGTCATTCTAAAGGGATTGCTTTAATTCTTATGAAGGATCATGTTGTTACCTAGATCAGCAGACTGCAGGGGAGACTTAACACTTTGCAGCCTCAGATCCTTGAGACACTGGAAGCTCTAGTGGACCCCAAGCTTTTGTCTGTGGATAGGAGTAAACTACACATTCTCCTGCAAAATGGCAAGAGGTAAATAAGAGTAAGCTGTGAAGAGCTGAGACAATGACCATAGAAAATTCTGTGCAATGAAATGTTAGAAAAGTGGTGTCTAGTACTAATTTCCTAGCTAACTGTATGCTGGGTTGTGCATCTTATTTCTAAATGTAAAAATTGCTATGTGGAAGATGAGCGATAGTGGGCAAAATAGAAAAAGGGAAGTCTATTCCAAGTTGTCAGAAATACAGTTAAGCTTCTTAAATAGCATCTGACAGAAGAAAATAATACCTAAAAGAATAAAATAGCATCATGAAAATGTTTCATGTAATGTAAAACAAGATTAGCTTTTGGATCTATGCTTTAAAGTTACTAGTTCTCATATACTGGTACCTTCCTGTATTAGCCTCTCTGATACATACTTGCTACATGCTCATAGACTGCTTGTTTCCTCTAGCTTAGGAATATATCCAGAAAACAGATCTGAATCCCATTCAGTGTATGTCTGTAGCTCACTGGTCCACAGACAGATCACTGCCACTGCTAAGCGTATGGCCTGTAGGGAATCTTTTGAAGGAGTTCTTAGAACCCTGGAAGGAAGTGTTCCCTGGCCACTCCGTCAGGTGAGGGTGCTGGCTGGCAAACTCAGTTAGAGATTACCTTTGTGCACTGGTGCCAGTGGGGATTACTTGACCTTTTTTGCCTGTTCTTTCTTCAGCTTGTCAGGACTGGAAACAGATCTTAAAGTTTTCAAAGAAACAATTCTGGAGATCTTAGATGAAGAAGAATTAATAGAAGAGCTCTGTTTATCTAAATGGACTGATCCACAAGTATTGTATGTATATTTTGAAACCACATACTTTTTTAACAGTGTGATTTGTTTTAGAAGAACTTGAACACTAAACTGTGTGTTCCCTGCCAAAAGCAGAAAGAAAAAGATTTATTTTTTTAAAGCCCTAATACCGCTTCAGAAATCAGTGTATTTGCCATTTTGGAGATGGACTCCATTAGCACTAGTTATATTAAGCAGTTTCAAATAGTTCTTGGTGTAACAGGCCAGCTCATCCAGTATGTAATGGGATGGGAGCAGGATGGCAGAAGGAGAAGAGGCAAATGTTAACACTTTCTGGGAGAATTTTGCTCATTTTAAAGCTTGTCTTAAATAGGTCAGACACCATGTTAGAAGTGTTCTGAACACCATTCTTCTAGCCTTTTGCTTACCAGCAGAACCTGAAGGAAAGAGGCCCTGGAACAATCTTGTGCATCTGAAGAGCAGCATTTCAGGAAAGATGTAAATGCAGAAATAGTCCTATTGCACCCTCTCAAATTCCGGTGAAAGACAGCAGCAGCAGCAGTATCAGTTGCTTTAACAAAGACTAAAAAGCAAAAAGAGAATGTGTACCAGACCCCAGTATGTTTTGGGCTGAACTGTATTTAAATCTTGGGCGTACGGACGTGCTTTATGTTTAAGCAGATAACAGAAACTGCTTTTCAGCATCATGTGCGAAGTTGCTGAATGCTACTTTTGCCTAATCACACTGCATGTGGATATTAATACTGTTTACACAGTAGCATGGGTTTGAAATCAGGAGATAGTTTCTTGGCCTGCAGAGCTTAGTCTAAATGTGCAGTAGAAACTCAGTATTCCAGAAGTGGGACACGGTTGGAATTTCTAGTGTATCTGCTGGAGCAGTATCAGGAGGGCTCTGAATTCAAGGCTGCTCCTGAGCCAGCAGCTGGTCTTTGTCCTGGTTTTGCTCACAGCCTTCCTCTGGACTTAATACAAGCTGCTGGCAAATCTCTTCTTGCCTCACGGTAGACAATGTATAGGGAACTTCTAGGAAAGATACAAGGGAACCTCACACACTCATGTCAGGAGAAGCCTCAAGTCATCCTTTCTTTCAGACACCATTGCACAAGGGTAGGAGAGGTGGTGGTGGGAGGTTGTGCCGTGCTGCAGGGTGCAGTGAGATGGTCTGTGTACAACACACACCAGGAAACACTAGTCATGGCAGCACATTTGCAGGTAGGCAGTGTGTGGGCAGCTCTTCTGGCTCCACAATTCATGGAGGTGATAAGTGGTGTTTGCTGAACTCAAGAAGTCTGAGAAGGTGTGGAGTAACCCAGTGAGTCATGTGAGTGCCATCAGAGATCATTTGTAGCAGGAAT